GTTACCTCATTTTAATTAATCATTAAACAAAGACAGCTGCCAAATTTTGGCTCTGGCTCCCAGCCTACAACTGACTTGCAGCACTTGAAAAATAGACTATTTATGGTGCCTGGGTTTAAAGCTTAAATTTCTTGTATAAACTTTACCCTTCCTAAGAATAGCGTGGAGAGTGCATTGCGGCTGCATCCGTGGTGCCCTGCACCCTAGCCCCATGGGGTCTGTGGCAAGGCTGGGGGAAGCAGGGTCCCTTCAGCTGCTGGTGACCTCGTCTCAATGCAGAGGGACGGCTGTGCCTGTGCCCCATGTCCGTCGTGTGCCGTCCACATGGGGCCAGGTGCCATCGACATGGGAGGTGGGCGAGTCACAGGGCTGGCCTTTGGGCAGAGCATCCTGATGTGGGAGAGCCCTGGGGCTGGCCAGATGGCTGCAGGTCCCCTGGATGTATTTGTATCCCTGGGAAAGGGCAGGGGCATGGGTGAAGAAACTACCACTACTTGTGCTTAGGGCACGGCTGCTGCATTCAGCCCACCCGCTGCCCCCAGGACTGGTGTTCCCGTCTTCCATTCTTGTATCCTGCTGATACTGGGGACTTTGGATTTTGCACTGTGGTGACAGAAGCTGCTAAAGCTGCCTGCACTGGGGACCCAGGGCTGCTGTGCCTTCCTTAGCATGGCAGCTTGGTGCTCCACAGGTACTGGCATGTTGTTTTTATTCCTTCTTACTACTACTGTTAATATTTTCCTTGATTGATGTGCCTTGGGGACAGGCTGGAGCCTGTACCTGCCATCCTCTTGGATCGCAGGCAGGGAAGGAGCCTTCTCAGGGGCTGGTGCAGCTCAGTAGAAGGAGGGCACAACAGCACAGGAACAGCTCCAGCATGGACTTTTTCCTGGACAATCCCCCTGTGCTGGGTGATGCTGGGGGGACTTAGGCTGAAGCAGAGACTGTGGGCAGCACACGTGCCAGCATTCTTGGAGCGCACCTCACTGCAGGGCTCATGGTGCCTGCACACCCTCCACACGTGTAACCATGAGTGCAACACACCAGGATTTGATGCAAACCAATCCCTTCTGAACAGACACAATCGACCTCCCTGCACTCACACACAGCTGAAATAAAGTCATGGAAACCTGGGGCAGCCATCTCCAGTGCTGAACCTCTCTGCACTGTGCTGGAAGCATCCCGCTGCTGCCTGAGCACCTCACAAAAGCACCAGCAGCCCAGCAGCTCTTGGCAGGAGGCACCGCATCTTCTTGCTCATTGGCAAGCCCATCCAAAGGGGTGGCTGCTGTCGTGCCCTTGGCTAATAGTGCTTAGTGTGGTTTTTATTCAGCTGTGTTGAATGCATAGGGACTATTCCATCCCCAGGAAGGTTTGGGTAGTCCCTACCATGCACTGCCGGCTCTGCTCTCTTTTGGGGGATGTGTCACAGTCTGCAAGCCCTTTGTGGGACCTGCAGCCACAGCGGGCTCCTGCACTGAGATGATCAATGTATCTGGGTGCATGCGGCATGCACCTGCAATGTGTGGGGCCAAAACCAGGCTGGGCTTCCAGTGAGCCAGCCTGGCACTGGGGGGTTTTAACCCTCCCAGCACGTACGGAGCAACTGTGATGCAAGGACTGGGAGAGAAAAGTGCACAGTTGCTGGCCACATCCTGGCGGCTCCATTAGGCAGCTGGTGCTGGATCCGCACCGTCTCTCGCTGAGCAGCCCTGAGAGGGACTGGGGCCAGGCTGCAGGCGGGATGAGCTCCTCCAGCTGCGGCCGGCAACCCACAGCTCATATTTCACCCTGCTCACATCTCTCCCCACTCGGTGACACCAAACGCGTGTCACACGTGCTGGAGGCACGGGCTCCCCGCCCCCCTCCTGCCCACGCATCCCGGGCCTCTGATCCTCCATCCTCTCCATCCTCTGTCTCCCCACTGAAATGGCTAAAATAAACTGAACGCGCCACCCGCGTGGTGCTGGGAGGCCAAGGCTGGCTGGGGAAGCAGCGTGGCTGTGCTGTGCCAGATGCCCCAGGTCGCAGCTCTCCCTCTGAAAGCTGTCTGTGAGATGCATCTGTAGCCCTCTGGAACTGCCTCTCCCCCCTTTTCCTGGCCCAGCCACCAGTCCTGAACTGGGGTTCTGGCTCCTTTTCCTTCACCCCCTGGGGTCTTTTTGCAAAACTGCTGGGGAGACTTTCTAGTGTGAAGACCTTTCACCGAGAGCCCAAGAACTGCTGTAGCAATGCCATTGTGGACAGCAGATGGCTTGGAATAAAGATCTGAGAAGGACAGATTGTTCCACTGCCTGGTGTGGATTGTTAACTCTGAACCCTAATGATAACAGCTTAAATCACAAGGCAGTTACTATGTAGCAAATTAGTACAGAAACACTTTCCTCTCCACCTCAGCAATGTCTTTGTTTCCCTATGCTTCCAAGTCCAAAAACCTCCTGCTCCTAAAACACACTTTCTAGAGCCTAGTTCTGCCTTGTCCAAGCTTGGGGAGGAACCTCCTCCTGGAGAGGAACCCTCATCCACCTGGGCAGGAACAACCCCAGGCACGAGGACATGCTGGGGGCACCCTGCTGGAAAGCAGCTCTGCAGGAAAGGACCCAGGAGTCATGGTCACCAAGCTGAACGTGAGTCAGCAATGTGCTCTTGCAGCTTGGAAGGCTAAGGGTATTGTTGGCTGCATTAGCCAAAGTATTGCCAGCAGGTGAAGAGAGGTGATCCTTCTCTACTCAGCACTGGTGAGGCCACACCAGTCCCAAAGCTGCCTGGACGTGGTGCTGGGCCCTGCTCAGGGTGTGCCTGCTGGGGCATGAGGGGACCAGAGGCACCCAAGGGTCCCTGCCCACCTCAGCCTGTCTGTGGTTCAGCAGTTCTGTGAAACAGACTGTGGGACCTCTCCTGGGCAGATTGTCTGGATCTGGTATGAAAGTGACTTCCACAGGGCCCATCATGCCCCTCAGTCTGTTTTGGGTCTCTGTCTTAAGTCTCTCCTAGATGAAGAGCTGCTTTGCCAAAGAGCAGAAGGGCTACACTTACCAGTGCTGTGTAAATGAGCCCGGTGGTAGGCAAGGATTTATAGGAGATGAGGATCTGTGGGAGATGATGACTTGTGGGAGAGCATGGGAAGGGCTGGGGAGATCTCACTGCAGTGTACGTCTGCCCGCCAGCAGCTTTTGGACACACCAAAAAGTTTAGCAAAGTTTGTTAGTATGAACAGCAGGTTCGCAGCCGGGTGAGTTTATGGCAAGCCAGATATAAATAAATAGAAGAAAAAGGATTTTCCCTGCACAGGGGAGCAGCATCCTGCCTGCCCTGCAAAGGCTGCCCGTGCACTGGATGCTGGCCAGAAGAGGGGCTCTTGGCTCCCCAGGAACAGGCACCCGTGGGGGGTTCTTCACGGGAGTGACCTGCTGGTACCAAAAAAACAGAGTGGTGTTTTTTAAAAGGGTAAAATTTGGGGTGTTTGGGCAGGGAGCCTGAGAGGGCCTTGGGGCTAGGGGTTAACAGGGAAACAAGAGGCAGCCTGAGCAGAGAACCTTCCTCTTGGGCTGCTCCTGCCTTCAGAAGCCACCATTTAGTGCCGGTACAGAGGATGGCACTGCGAAGAGGCTCTCTGTATCCAGCTTCCAGCTGACAGTGATGGTCTGTGAGCCTCCTCAGGCTGAGATTGAAGCGCAAGCTCAGGTAGGGGATGGATGCTGCACTGGTGCTGCTGCCCTGGCTCAGCTGTGGAAGATGGCTTGGGTTAACCTCAGCCCAGAAAGGGGGACTTTATGGGTGGGAAAATGATGTTATCAGGACTTTGAAATGTAGATGAAGTCAGAGGTCATTCTGCAGCAAGTTGTTCTTCACTCCAGGATCAAGCCTGGAGAAATCAAGTCCTTTTGGACCTATTGATGCAGTGAACATGATATAGAACAGCTCCATTGCTGAGGTGAGGCTGTGTCCCTGGGGTACAGGGGAGCTGCAGGCAGCCCCTTCCCCTTCCAGCCAGGGTTCCTCCCCAGAACTGCCTTTGGCATCCCTTGACCACAGCCTGGTGAGGGTCTGTAGGGTGTGGGGGCTGCAGAGGCTGTATGGGCACACGCCTTGTTCCCCTGGATGTACCCCAAAACAAATAGAGAGGGACCAACCCTGGGGTACTCAGTGCACAGGACCCTGTTGGGGAGCCCCTGGGATGCTGTCTGGCCCCTACCACTGCTTGCAGCTGGTGTGCCACACCAGCTTGGTTATCGGTGTTTGGACAACACTCTTTGAAATACAATTTAATATTTATGTGGTTCCATGTGGAGCCAGGAGGTAGAGGTGGAGGTGGCAGTGGTGATGATGGTGGCGGTGGCAATGACGTTGGCGGTAGAGGTGGAGGTGGCAGTGGAGATGATGGTGGCAGTACAGGTAGAGGTGGTGGTAGAGGTGTTATTGGTGGTGGCTATGACAGTGGTAGTGAAGGTGGCGGTGGAGGTAGGGGTGGTGATGATGGTGGCGGTAGCGATGATGGTGGTGGCAGAGGTGGTGGTGGTGGGAGCAGTGGTGCTGGAGCAGCAGATACGATGGTGGTGATAGAGGCAGAGGTGGCAGTGGCAGTGATGGTGCAGGTGGTGGTGGCAGTGCTGATGGTGGTAGTGGTGATGACGGTGGCAGAGGTGGCGGTGGTAGCGGCGATGATGGTGGTGGCAGCGGTAGAGGTGGCGGTGGCAGTGGCGATGACGGTGGTGGCAGTGGCGGTAGAGGCGTTGGTGCCAGTGGTGGCAGAGGTGCCGGTAGCACCGGCGGTGCTGGTAGCAGCGCGGTGCCGGCCCGCGCCCCGCGGGGAGGCCGCCGCCACCCGGCCCTGCGGGGCGGCTCCGCCCCTTCCTTAACTCTTGCGGGGGCCGGGCCCGGGCCGGCGCCTGGGGGCACGGCGGGGGGCTGCGGGCCGGGCCGCGGGGCGGGGGGGCGCGGGGGGCTCCGAGCCGGGCTCCGAGCCGCGGCGGGACGAGGAGCGGCCCCGGCCCCCTCGGCCCCGCTCCCTCCCCGCTCCCTCCCCACCCCCCCCGGGCCGCCCCCCGGCGGGCCGGGCAAGGTGAGCGCCCCCCCGGCAGCCGCGGCCGCCCCGGCCTCCCAGCCTCTGCGCCGCGGGCTGCAAGAAGTTAATTTATTTTTGGAGAAGCAGCCCTCAGAGTTTGTCTAATTCCATCCGCACCAGCTCCTTTCACTCTATTTTAAACCAGTTCTTACTGTGCTGCAAGTTTATAAAAACAATCACTGCTCCCTGATAAAAGCAGCCCCAACCCGCGGAGAAAGCAAGGAGTCACAAAAGCAGCATCTCCTCCGGGACACTCTAGCTCAGCCGAAAGTTTCGCAGGTAATTTGCCTTTCCTACTTAACATCTTTCTGTTCTTCTGGCTGCTTTCTCACATGTGTGTGTAGCTCTGTCGACACCCGGCACCGACGTCCTGCGGGGCAATGGAGCACCGTCAGGCGTTCCTGCTGCTTCTCTTGGGCTACTGCTGGGGCCTCGGTGGCCCCTTGTGCCTGCCAGGTCTTGGACTATGTGCACCCTATGTGGGTTGTGGAACAGGTTAGGATCAGGCACAAGGTGCACGTCAGAGGTCAGGAGCTAGCCGTCCATAGGGACAGGCAGGGCAAGGCAAGGAGGAGAGGATGGAGCTGTGCAAGGGCAGGGTGATGGTGAGGGGCCGTCTGAGCTCTGCCCCAGGAGCCTCGCTCTGCTGCAGCCCTTTGGAGGCTATGGAAGGCTTCGCCAGCCACGCTGCCCTGCCTGCAGAGTGCGACCCTCCCGGCTTTTGCTCCTCGTGCTCCTGCTTTGGCAGGGACACCGGGTGCTGGGGAGGGTCACTCTGGCTGTGCCGACCGCTCAGCCACTTAATGCGATTTCTCCATGACTCACCGATGCAACCCACAAAAACTGTTTAGGAAAGCTCCCGGCATCACTCACGTTCCAAAATCCAGGGCATTTATGGACCGCTTTGTTTCATTTAAATGAACATATTGCAAAATGCTACCCGGCATAAACGACTGATCTCATTTGTAGAGCTCTAAAGCGCTCAAGGGAGGTTGGGTTGGCCTCACACAGGGCTTTCTGCTTTTTCAGGGTTAATGCTTTTGAAAATGCTGCCTTGGCAGCTGCAAAATGGTTACACATCCTGCGGCTGGGCTGTATGAAGCGGGACAGGGCGGCAGCGCTGCCAGCCCTAGAGCAGCTGCCCAGGCCCTCTCCTTCCTGTGGCACTGCCAGTGGTCCCCTCCACCCGTGGTCTCCTCTGTCATCAGGGTGGCCCTTGGGGCACCTGTGGGGTTTTGGGAAGAGGGTTGGGGTTTTAGCGCTGGGTGGTGCAGCTGCTGCTTTGCTGAAATCCGTCAGGGTCCTGGTCGACTTCTCCCTGTTGCCTATTGGTAGAGCGCACATCAGTTCAGCTCTGAGTAAACAACAACTAAATATGCAGAATGGCAGAAAATGATGGGATTTTTTTTTATTTTTTTTTGAGAATGGTATAACCTGATCTCTCCTGCAAATGACAGTTGTCATATGGCCTGAGGGATGGCAAAAGTCAGTGACCCCTCATCCCCTCTCTGGTGCTGCTCTGCCCCTGTGTTTTGGTGGTCCAGCATGCAGGGGAGGGGAGATGTGTTGTTGTGAGAAGTATCAAGCTAAAAATAGTTCCCTCTTTCTGCTCCATCTGAATGGGCAGCCACATATGACTGTACATGGATTTGTCTGATAGTCCCGTTTCAGTGTAAGAGACAAAATATCTTAGTTATGGCTTTGTTCTTCAGCTAACAATGGGTAGCTAAAAATATCCAACTTTGTTCCACTCAATAAAGTTCTCTCAAGGGGAGACACTAATGTTACATTTTTGCCAGATCCGTTCAAAACGCAGCCAAAGAAAATGCGCATTTTTGCCAACAACTTTTCATAAAACTTGTAATGAGCAGAAAACTCCATACCGCGCCGCGAGTGAGGCTGTGCTGTCTGCTGTGTGCAGCATCCCGGGGCTGCTGGCTGCCCTGCTCCCCGGGGGTGTTTGAGGAGGGCAAAGCCTGGCTGAGACACAGCCGCCACCGCCTCCTCTTCCTCCTCTGTTTCCTCCTCCTCGTCCTCTACATGTGCTCGTGCTGCACCGCAGTCTGCGGGCGCACTGGGGCTCAGCGGCATGGGGCAATGCACTGCTGCCTGCTGGTGCTGGCGGGGGAGAGTGCCCCAGCCCTGCCAGTGGCAGCTGCTTGGTGGTCGCTGTGGTCTTGCTCCAATTGCCTTATTTCCCGTTTTATGGCAGCCGGGGCTGGAGGCCAGCCCAGCCGGCCCCGTCCTGCTGTGCAGGCTCTGTGTGTGCGTTAAAAGCCTGGCACGGCTGCTGCAACGCGTCTGCAGCCTGACAGCCAAGAGGAAACCTGCAGAGACCTCACTGGGCTGGCACGGCCCCACGGAGATGGGAAGGAGTTGGGAAGGAGATGGGCCCTCCCATGCTCACCCCCATCTCTAAATTAAATGACCGCCTCCCCATGGCTGTCACCCCTGGTTCCCTAATCTGCCTGCAGCACTGCACGGGCAGCAACTGCACGCAGAAATTGTGGGGAAAAGAGGAAGCCAGACCCATCCTTTACATCTCTGGGTCCAGTTTGTTCCGTGGGTAACAGAGCGAACCCTCTCCCACATTTCCTTGCCTTTCAGCTGTGGGCAGAGCAGATCTGGGTGACCTCAGCTGAGGACGCCCCTCTTTTCACATTGAAGCTGGTTTGGACGAGGAAGCAGCTGCACCGTTTGCTACAGGTACCTTGATTTCTGACTTGCAAGTGGTTGTGCTCAGCTGGAGCTCATTTTGGTTTGGACTGGCAAGGTGCCCACCAGGTGTTTGCTGAGTGTGACCGAGTCTTATTTTTGTTTTGCCCAGCAACAGGAAAAGGAGTTGGGTTTCTTCTGTCTTCTACTGTACTGCAAGTTTGCAAATCATTCTTGAGCTCTTCTCTGAACCAGCGTTTTCCCTTTTCCAGCATTCCCCCTGTTCTGTAGGCACAGCAATCACTAAAGATCACCTTAATTCTGGACCTCTCTATTCTGCATTTGCTCTCCAAGCCATGGTGCCACGTCCAGAGCTCCCACTCAACTGTTTTTCGCTGTGCCCCTCCCTATGACTGTGTCACATGGATGCTTTTCTTTGGGCACCCTCTGTTTTGTAAATGCTGCGTTAGATCCTGCTGGCATTTAGGCTCCTGTGGCTGGGACATTTTAGAACAGGGAAGGTTGATGGGTTATGACAGTAGCAGTCCCCTGTGCCAAGAAGGTAGAGGAGGCCCTTGATGCCCAGGTGGGGTAAAGGCAGGAATGGCTTTGGGAGAGGATCACCACAGAGATCACCTTGGTGAGGGTGGGCTGACATCGGCCAAAGGAGAGCTGGTGGGGCTGGTTGGATGCCGGTGAGCAGCTGAGGTTATTGCTCGAGGAGGGACACAGCCAGGGAAATGGGCCATGGGATGCTGTGTGGCCCTTCCATGTGCTGTGGCCAAAGCAAAGCCTCCCTCTGCCTGGCGGTTACCCTGTTCCTTCACCACCGTGGGCATGGAAGACCTGTCCTCCTGCCCTGAAGGCTGAGCTCCAAAGGTGGGCTGCCTACTCTGGATGGACAAGCGCGTCCTTTGGGAAGAAGCCGCTGCCTGAAGTGATTCATGCACTGTTTGCGGCTGCAGTATTCCTGGAATGTACCTGCTTTATTTCTTGGCCTTCTTGCTTGTTGTTGGAGAGGAGCTGAGTTAACGTTCTGGGTATGGATGGTGAAGGGATCCAGCCCCTGCACTTGGTGAATACAGCAGCTGTGGGTCAGGCCATGGTGGAGGTGCTCAGAGAGTTGTGAGCTGGTCGGGAGGCCCTGCAAGATGACCGGGCATGGACATTGCCTGCCAGGCCATGGCAGAGGGCCCTGTGTCAGCGCAGGTGGCCCAGCGGCCTCAGCTGAACACTCAGGCTGGCAGGGAGGACTCCGTGCCTGGTCTGGAGACATCGCATGTGAGGCCAGCTCAAGGCTCCCTGCTTGAGGCCAGTCAGCGCAGCTGTGCTGGAGGAGGGCTCAGGGGCACAGCAGAGAGCCTTGCTTCAGTGGGAGTGGAGGTAGGAGGCACCTGGTGCCACACTCTCCTGCTTGCCCGTTCCCTGCTCCTCCACACTGCTGGCTGGTGTCCTCCATCCCCAGCTGCGCATCCCACAAGAGCAGTCAGTCCCTGCACTTGTCTGGCTCCTAGAGGGTGGATACTTCACATGCAGCGTGCATTTTGAAATGTCATTGGTCATTTTGAAAGTCTCCCAAAGTCCATTTCTTCTGCCAGCTTCCTTCCCATGGTCTCCTCAAGGATTTGTGCCCATCCTTGGGACTGGGAGCCCTCAGGTGCCTTGGACACAGAGAGTGTCTCCAGTCCTGTGTCCCTGTGTGGAGTGAGGAGCAAGGAAATGAGCACCTTGGGTCATGGTGTCCAGCTCCTTCATGGACATGTTGCTATTCTGGAGACTTGCAATAGCACTGTTGTGAATTACAGGAGGGACATTTCTGGAAGAAGACAGGAAGCAAATAATTTTTTTGTCTGAGGTGCTCCATGGTGATTTCCTTGCTGAGTCTACAGAGCCCGAGCAGTAGAAGCACCTCCATTTTGAGACTGACCATACAGCACAAGCCTCAAAGGTGATGTAGGCTCTGATATTCAGGAGTGTGATCCTAAATGCTCCTCCCAGGTCGTGGTGGCTCCGGGTGCTTGCTGCCAGCCTGGCAGTCTGAAGGTGGAGCTGTTGCTGCCTCTGGTGGCCCGTCTCTCATGCACTTGACTGCAGGTGGCCATGGGCCTCAACCTGTCCCAGCCACTTCCAGAGGGGTGGCTTCATCTGCCACTGGCCTTTATGCAGCGACATTGAGCAGCCAGGAGCTGAGGTTTAGTGGGAGAGGCAAGGAGAGGAAACTTCCATACTTGTCCTTCCTTCTAAGCCAACACAGAGCTGGTTTTCAGCACCAGAGACAACAGTGCAAGCAACACAGGGGAGGTGAGCAGAGAGGCTGTGGCCAAGCCCAAGCACTGACACGTGAATGGGGGAACAGCCTGGCAGTGCAGCCCCTGCCTGCACTGCACCTGCCTGTTACCAGCTGCCAGGCTTCTGGCTCGCAGGGGAAGCTGTGGACACAGGCCTCATGCACAGGAGAAGTACATCAGAGGACAGTGCTTTGGGACCTTCTATCTCTTGATTACCTGCATGGCCCTAAAGTGAGATCTCATGACCTGGGGTTTATGCATGTGACCTAACCATGAACTGCTGTGGTTATCTCCTGTCCCACCAGCTGATGCTGCTCATTAGGTGCTAATGATTTA